CGGTTTTAGAAAAAATGTAATGTTTTTAGTTTTCAAAATGTGGGTTTTAATATGACTTTATAGCTACAAGTGGAGATGTATAGTTGAAAGCTGGAAATACTATCTCAACTCAGAAAAAAATGTTACCTTCTTTTAGGTACTAGAGATATGGAACAATTAACGATTAGGGAGATAATAACATGGTTGAAACCACAGAGTAGAAAAGGTCATCCCAGGGCCACCATTTAGCTCTAGAGATGAAGACTAGAAGGAGGTGACAATGAAGCAAACATGATGAAGGAAAAGGGCAACTGTCTTATACAGTGCTCCCCCCTTTCAACTTTTTAATGAAATATTTAATAGGTATAAAAGAATATTGATATATTAAATATCTGTAAAATATTATAAGTAATGCCCTAATTACTATGCATTCACCACTTTTTTTCAATTACCAATATCTTTGAAATCTTCCTGAATTTCTCTTGTATTTCATCCTGTTTCCTCTCTATAACTACCATTTTGAATTTTAAAAATAATATTATATTTTTATTTTGCTACATATTTTTGTCTTTAAGTAATTTATTGTTTAGTCTTGCATGTTTTTGAACTAAAAATAAAATCATGATGTTTATCATCTTTGACTTAATTTAAAAACAAAATTTCTAAGATCACCATTGGCATCATATCTACTGTAGTCATTAATTTTCATTGCTGTGCAATTCCCTGCACAACTAAACCACAGTTTATACATTCTGGGATTAATATATGTTTATATTATAGCTTTCTTATTGATATAAACAGTGCTGCTATAAGCAGTCTTGCAAACATTTTTTTATAATTTCTCTAGGACATAACTAGGAGTTGAATAACATTGTCCTAGGGTACTTGCATGTTTAGCTTTACTATGCAATTTTGGTCTCTTTTCAGAAGTGGTACCAATTTATAGTTCTTCTAGTACTATATAAGTGCTTTGTTGTTATGCATTCTTGACAATACTTGATATTTTTGCACATATTTACATGTCTTCATCCATAGTATGGTTACTTGATGATGTGATTGTAGTTTAAATTAGCAGGTGATTCCCCTCTCTTCACCCCCTTTCTCTTTTGTTGCTGTGAGAATATGAGCATCTTACATACTTTATTCCTCATTCTGGTTTCCATTTTTCTTTTTAAATTACATTAATTGGGGACAACATTAGTTAATAGTATTATACAAGTTTCAAATGTACATTTTTATGATACATGATTTGTATATTGCACCCTGGCTCGGTAGCTTAGTTGGTCAGAGCATTATATTAATATGCCAAGGTTGCAGATCTGATCCCCAGTCAGGGCACATACAAGAATCCATTTTCTGATAAGATATAAAGTTGAGTAAGATGAATGGCCTCTTACCTCAATTTGCATTTAGTAAAGCTTACTTAATTAGAAGCTCCAGACTTTGTTCCATTAAAAAATAGATTAGCTATATGAATTATTTATAGCATCTCTATTTCAGTTTACTCATTTGTAAAACAGTGGGCTTTAACTATTTAATATCTAGTGTCCCTTTTACTAATATCTATAATTCCCTTGTCTAATTTTTTTTTGTTGGTCTTGAAACTTAGAAATAAGTAGTTACAATATATTGTAGTGGTTAACTATAAAACATTGACTTTTGTTTTGTTTTCCATAAGAAAATGTTGGGTTCTGTTTCTGTAAGATGTGATAATGTTAGTTCTTCAAGGAACTATCAGGTGAATTTCCCATCACTATCTTTCATTTTAAAAATTATATTTTATTGATAATTTTTTTTCAATTACAGTTGACATAAAATATTGTTAGCTTTATCTATATAACTTACAAAGTGATCACCCCAATAAATCTAGTACCCATCTGACATACATAGTTATTAACATCATTTATTATTATTATTACTATTTTAAATCCTCACCCTAGAATATGTTTTTTATTGACTGTTTTGTAACTAGCAATTTGGACTTCTGAATCTCTTCCCCTTTTTTTACCCATTCTTCCAACCTCCCTCCATCTGATAGCCATCAAAATGTTCTCTCTATCTATGATTTTGTTTATGTTTCATGTGTTCATTTATTTATTTTTTTTTCATTTCACATATAAGTAAAATCATATGGTATTTGTCATTCTGTGTATGACTTATTTCATTTAGCAAAAAATGCTTTAGGTCCAGCCATATTGTTGCAAATGTCAAGAATTCACTTTTTATGGCTGAGTAATATTTCATTGTATATATGTACCCTTTTTTTCCATTCATCTATTGGTGGATACTTAAGTTGTTTCCATATCTTGGCTACTGTAAATAATGCTGCAGTGAGTATATGGATTCTTCTGTCCTTTTAAATTAGTGTTTTGAATTTCTTTGGATAAATACCAAGAAGTGAAATTGCTGGGTTTTTCTTTGTCTCTTGTTATAGCCTTTGTTTTAAAGTTTATTTTGTCTGGTATAAGTATTGCTACCTCAGCTGTTCATTTTTTTTTAATTTCCACTTTCAAAACATTTCTTTTTCCATCTCTTTATTTTCAGTCTCTGTGTGTCTTTCCATCTAAAGTGAGTCTCTTTAGACAATGTATGTAAGGGTCTTGGTTACTTATCCGTTCAGCTACCCTATGTCTTTGATTGGAGCATTTAATCCATTTACTTTTAAAGTAATTGTTGGTAGATATGTACTTGACATTTTATTATTCATAATTTTGATCTTTTTTTTCTTTCTTCTTAAAGACATCCCTTTAACATTCTTGTAATACTGGTTTGGTAGTGATGAATTTCTTCAGCTTTTTCTTGTTTGGGAAGCATTTTATCTCTCCTTTGATTCTAAATGATAGATTTGCTGGATAGAGTAATATTGGTTGTAGTCCCTTGCTTTTCATCACTTTGAATACATTATGCTTATCCTTTCTGGCCTGAAATGTTTCTGTTAGGAAATCAGCTGGCAGTTTTATAGGTAGGTAACAATCTGTCTTTCTTTTGTTGCTATTTAGAGTCTCTCTTTGTCTTTAACCTTTGGCATCATAATTTTAATTATGATATCTTGGCATCGGCCTCTTTGGGTTCATCTTCTTTAGGACTCTGTGCTTCCCGGGCTTATATGTTTATTTTCTTTGCCAGGTTATGGAAGTTTCCGGTCATTCGTTCTTCAGATAGGTTTTCAATCCCTGGCTATCTCTTCTCCTCCTGGTACTCCCTTTGATGTGAATGATGGTGTGCTTGAAATTGTCCTTGAGGCCCCTGAAACAATACTTGTTTTTTGTTTTGTTTTGTTTTGTTTTTTGTTTCTTTCTGCTGTACTGATTAGGTGTTTTCTCCTATCTTATTTTCCAAATTGCTGATTCAATTCTTTGATTCATCTAATATATTGTTGATTTTCTCTAATGTATTCTTCATCTCAGTTATTATATTCTTCATTTCTGACTATTCTTTTTTATGTTTTCTTTCTCCATTTTTATGTTTCTTGTCTCTTGGTTGATCTCACTGAGATAATTGAGCATACTTATAACCAGTGGTTTGAACTCTGTATCTGGTAGATTGTTTGTCTCAATTTTGTTTAGTTCTTTTTCTGTAGTTGTGTTCTGTTCTTTCATTTGGGACATGTTTCTTTATTCCCATGTGCTGGTTTCTGTGTATTAGGTAGAGCTGCCATCTTTCTTGGTCTTGATAGAATGGCCTGATGGACTGTCATGAGGGGCCCAGTGAGCCAGTCATGTTGGTTGTGTGTTCCTCTTGTTGTAGTTGAGCCTTGATTACTGTTGACACATCAATAGGAGAGGTTGACCCTCTGGATGATTGGTTGAGAGGACTGGCTCTAACCACCATGGAGGAGCTGTTGTGCAGGGGTTGGCCCTATAGAGCCGGATTTGCTGTAGGGTTCTGACACCTGCAAAGTCTGCACTTTGAGTGTGTCCCAACCTTTGTTGGGAGGGACTCTGGTGCATGTCAAAGTTAGCTGTTGCCTTTGCCCTATCTGGGCTATTTGGTATGTGCTGCAAAGTGATGTACAGATAGTTGCCCCTTGACTGAATTTGGAGGTGCCTTGGAGAGCCTAAGGTGACTGAGGCTGACTACCAGTATTGTCAGGCTTGGGGCTGCTTTGCAAGAGATACGGGGCACAGTAAGGACAGATACTGCTTCTTTGGAGTTTGTGGACCTTTAAGAGATTTTAGGAAAGTCTGAAGCATGAGCCAAGATAGACTGTATAGAAAAGCACTGGAAGTGGCTTGGGTGTACTTGCAAGTTGGGTGAGATGGAGTCTCGGAATCATCAGGGTTGGGTTAACTGTGTTTGCTAGGTGGATGGAGGTTAAGATAACAGCACCCACCTGCAAGTGCAGGACGGGTTGAGGGAGGGATCAACAAAAGAACAGTGTTCTCTGCCAGCACTTCTGTCTGGGCAAAAGCTGCCCCTCTAGCCCTCATCCTGAAGCCAAATAAATCAGTTCTGCTCCATATGTTCCTGGAACCTTTTGAGCTGCCTCCCCAGAGCGAGTGAATCTGTCAGCAAGTAAGTCTGTGTGCCAGCCCTTTAAGACAAATGCTTGGAACTCCAGCAACCCTCCATCTCACTCAGCCACAGTCCCTCTGGTTTTTATTGTCAGAAGATACCGGGATTTCTCTTCCCAACCCTGGAATCCTGGTCTGGGTAGCCTAGTATGGGGCTAGGACTCCTTGCTACTTAGGAGGCACCTAAGCAGCCAAGAGATGCCTCTCAATTTTTAGCCACCACATGTGGGTGTTGGACCAGCCCATTCAGCATCTTCATTGTCCACCCCCCTTTACTGTACGTGACTTCTTCAGTATATCTTAGTATATCTATTCAGCTAGTCTTCAGGAGTTTCTCAATGATAGTTTTCTTATAGTAGTTTCTTTGTAATTTTGATGTCGTCGTGGGAGGAGGTGAGCACAGCATTTTCCACTCCACCATCTTAACCAGAAACCTATTTTTTTAAATTTTAAATGCTGTTAAACCTACAAATCCAATCCTAACATATATAAATTATTCTTTCTCAGAGTGAAGATACACAACAGCAAATCATCAGGGAGACATTCCATTTGGTATCTAAGAGAGATGAAAATGTTTGTAATTTCTTAGAAGGAGGATTGTAAGTAAAGCATTTCATACACAATTCTAATCTTTGTATGTTTAGAGTATATACTGTTTAATCTGTTTATGGTAAAAGTTTTAAAATTTTAATTAATTTGATCAGGTGAATTAATTGCCATCTATTATATGTTAGCTATAAATCTAACTTAAAATTTTTTTTAGCCTGACTGGCATGGCTCAGTGATTGAGTGTCAACCTATGAACCAGGAGATCATGGTTGAATTCCTAGTTTGCGGGCTTAGTCCTTCATGTGGGGTATGCAGGAGGCAGCTGATCAGTGATTTTCTCTCATCATTGATGTTTTTTTCTCTCTGTCTCTGAAATCAACAAAAATATATTTAAAAAAAATAATTTTTTAAAGATATACAATATTTTTTGTTTTTTTTAAGAATTTCATAAAAGTATTTTATATAAGGCAATATATTCATATGGTGAAAATTTGAACATTATAAGAAAGTATAAAATGTAAAATGTAAATCAAAAGCCAGTTTCTCTCTCTCTCTATGAATTTTAGTCCTCCTTCCCAATATCTTGTGTGTCTTTCTAGAAAATTAATTTTGTATTGACTATCGTATAAAAGTGTGATCTTAAGATCAAACAATTATGCTAGTTTGCATATTTCTTGTTTTCACTTAGTAATTTGAAAAGCTTTGCCATATAAACACATCTAGAGCAACTTTATTCTTTGTAATGACTACAAGGCTATTCCTTAGAGTGAATAGATCTGTTCACTAAGTTTTAGATTACATACTTTATTTTATTATTACATACAAGACTGAAGTCTTCTTTTCAAATCTATGTCTATATGTGTGCTGTGTGTATGTACAGGCATTTCTGTATATAAATTAGAATTCAGCTAATATATTTTTCTATTTTAAATGAAAAATAAGAATTACTTATATTTTGTAGTGTTATGAATAATCAGTTAGTCAGAGAAGCCTACACTTTTTTATTTTAAGGTATATAATGCATATTATGAAAAATATATGCATTTTTTTATCTGAACATTTTACCTCATAGAAAGTTTATCTGAAATCACTCTTAACTGAACTTTTTACCTCATTAAAAGTTTACTTTCACTTCATAAAAGATTATATCATGCTCCACTTAAATTTATAAATATTTGTAAGTTTTGCTATTAACTTAAGGCTATCAATTTAATAGTTGAGACAGGTACACCTGGTTTCTGTTTTTACATTTTAATTGTATTTTCTTATTTCTCTAACACCTTTATAATTTAATGTCTTTGCCTTCACTGTTACTTTCTATCATATCAGTCTCTTAAACTCTTATCTCATTAGAAACTTACCACCCACCATAGTACACTGCATGTGGTAGACATGCAAAAACCTAATTAATCTAATCAGGCACTGTTTTAACTATAAATTATGGCTTTACTTTGTGATTATTCTTTTCCTACCTTATAAAAAATAGATATCAAATATTGCATCAGAGATAAGAATACACATCTGGTCTAGTCCTAGTTTTGTCACTAATATGCTGGTTTTTTTGGTCAGGTAACAAAATCTTCTACCTCAGTTTTTATCTGGTATTTGGACTAAGAAGATTTCCTGTGGTTTTATATGGTGTATTGCATTCCATATAAGAATTTGTATCAGTATTGTACTGTAGTTTAAAGATTAAATTATATTTTTAAAGGTAAATATATACTTGCCATATTAATATCTTTGCTTTCTTTTAATAACATAGCTTTTTTAACCACATTAATAGCCATTTAATAATGCCAAAAGTTTGGTCTCCTCTTAATCTGCTGCTTATTCTCTTTTTGTGTCTTTCACGGAACAATTGCAATAATAACCTATAAAAATAATCTTAGAGAATCTTTAAAGTGTACATATTTTCTAACTGAATCTTTTCTATAAACATATCTAGCATAGTTAAAAAATTTTTGTCAAAGAGACATAAGGTAGAGAAATTGTTTCTATAGAACTTATAATTTCAGTATTACTTTTATCTACCGATTTTATTTTATTTTTTTGTTAATCCCCATCCCAAGGATATTTTTCCATTGAATTTTTAGAGAGAGTGGAAGGGAGAGGGAGAAATAAGAGAGAGAAACATCGATGTGGGACAGTCAGGTCTATTGGTTGCCTGACCAGGACCAGGGATCGAGCCTGCAACTGAGGTATCCACCCTTGACCAAAATTGAACCCATGACCCTTCAGTTCACGGGCTGATTTCTCTATCCACTGAGCCTAACCAGCTAGAGCTTCAGTGTTACTTTTACTAAGTAAGTAATCTGTGCCATTTCCCCTTTTTTGAGTGTTAAGTTAGCTTTAATTACATTTAGTCTTGATTTTATGTTAGCATTAGAAGGTCTTTTGAGAAGATGAAAAAACTAATTCATAGTGAACTTTACTATGATAGCTAAACTATATTTAGAAAAATGTAAGATGTTTGAAAAGATTATTTTTTAAATGGTATAATTCTAACAAATATACATAAAGACATTTGATTAAAGAATTGAGTTTTTGTTGTTTTGTATTTATATTTCAAAACAAAATGTGTTTTTGGTGATTCTATTGGGAAATCTGTCCAACTTAAGTAGAAATGTCTTTTTTTTTTTTTTTTTTCCTCCTCTCATTTCTAATCAGTCTTAAGCTTGTGGCTTATGTAATTAAATTTAGTAAGCACTTTCAAATGCTCTGTCATCTGATTTCTGCCCTCTTTCTGACCTCATTGCTAACTAATCTTTCTTTGTCTAAAGACCATCTTTCTCTTCCCTGAACATCCATACTTTGTTCTTGATGAAATGGCCTTTTTATTAGTTGTTACCCCTGCCTGAAATGCTCTTCTCTAAATTCTGTCATTGCTGCCTCAGGATTATTAGATCTTGGCCTAAATATTATCTAATCTGAAGTAATGAATCCATAAATATGGTAGCATCCTATTTTGATTCTCTGTGTGGTGCTTTCTACTCTGATAATGTTTGTTTATTGCTCCTTATCCATTATCAGTGTCTGACACATAGTATATACTCAGTAGATAGTTTAGTGAATGAATGAATTAAAATGACGCAGCAGCATCTTTTACTTGACATTTTTTAAGAAAACAAACACCTTAATTTACTCAGTCTCTGATACAAGTTCACTTGAAAGCTATGCCAGTAAATGTTACCTTTTATTTTTTATAAAATGTTTTTAAGTAAATTATCAGTTTGCTTGATGTAATGAAAATGTTTTTCATTTTGTTCTTATACTTTTCCAATTGTTTTGTTTTGTCATTTAGATTAATTGGAGGATCTGACAACAAACTAATTTATAGACATTATGCAACGTTATATTTTGTCTTCTGTGTGGATTCTTCAGAAAGTGAACTTGGCATTTTAGATCTAATTCAAGTAAGTTAACATTTGCCTCTATCTTAAATAACAATTTTGCCATTTACATTTTTTAAAATGTGTATGTTGCAAATTTTCTAAAATGATGTCTCTTTTGGTAAGAAATGAAGCATTCCACAGTAGTATTGGGTGGATAAAAGAGGGAGGAAGGATATAAAAACACGTAGACTAACTTAATCTAATTAAGACTAATCAAAACTAATTTCATCATGCTCCTTTTTTCTTGTTCATGTAAGTCACCATAAGAAGCCCAAGAGTCATAAGTCTCTTACCATGTGTATCCAGATTTGACCTCAAAATTCACTCCTCTATGTCTCCTGAAAATCTTTTTTAATGTCCCTGGAGCTAAAGGTCAGTCATCAGGAAATTCCTCTTTATTTTTAACATCCTCTGTAACATTGCCTCTCATGCTTTCTGTATAACATTGATCCTGGAGGTCTTCCCTTGCTTCGCTTCTCATTGCTTTTTCCAGATCATTATCTCTTCTAAAACATCTCCACACTTTATCTCATGTTATTAAACTATACCACCTTCTATCCATCCTGTTGCAGTAATCTTTCATTCCCACCTTCCATTCATTGAAGATTCTATGAAAAACTTTCAAGGATTTGAGATTTTACCCTACTTGTAAACTAACAAGTTAACTATCACAGTTTCATGGATGTTGGCAGAAGAGGAGAGGTTTTCTGGGCCAGAAACAAAGGACTTTATTACTAACAGCAAGAGCAGTAGCCAAAGTAAAAGCATTTGCTTACACTGGGTCCTCAAGTCCCAATTTCCAAAGTGTGATTTGAAAAGAGCCATGTGATACTTGCATACACAGTAGATTGAATGATAGCAGAGGAACCACAAGCTTAGGGAACTTGAATCTTTGATAGTGGACACTAAGGATGTCTGCCCTTGAAGTGGAGGAAGATAATATTTTCTAAGGGTAAACCTACCCTTTGCTTTGGAGAAATACTCTCTATTTTCTAAGGCTGTTTGCTACACAAGCTTGCTTGAAAAGATAGTCCACAATAAAGACAGTAACTCTGCTTACATTATATACAGACATGGGAGACTCATGAAGAATTATTCAGTGCCTTCACTTCAATACTGCTTGTGATTTCAATGTTCATGTGGATAATTATTTCAGTACATTAGTGTCTTCAAACATTGGAATTCCTCTTTTCCAATAAATTTTGCCCTCCACCCTACCTTACTACTTACTTCTTGACCTTGTCTTTATTCAAACTTTAATTCCTCCATCATTTCAACTTAACAGTTTGCACTCTCTGCCACCTATTATCTTTCATATCACAATTTCTATTACTCATACAAATCTTTGAGCCTGTTGGAATCTTAAGTCTTTTAAACCTATTTTATTTTCACTGTCTCTGATCCTCCTTACCCAGCTTAAAGTCTATACATTTGAACATACATAGAGAGGAAAAAAACATAACCATACTCACTGGCTTTATTTTAAATTCATAATCCCTAACCTCCAAGAGTCCTTAATGCTATCCAGTCCATTCATTGTTCCATATTTTAGGTAACTACTGATACATTCTCCTTTCTCCTTAAACCTCTAGCACTTCTACCATCTTGCTTTCTAGTTCACTGACAAAATGGAAGCAATCAGAGGAGAACATCTGTGTCCATGTGCTCTATTCTCTCTTCTTTGAGAAGTGAACTCACTATATTCCTAGCTAAGGCTAATTCACCCATTTATATACTAGTTTTCTCCTCATTGCTGTAACAATTCTCCCTCTTCTGTGTCATTTTTCCTCTCTTTTATGTATTTCTTGATCTGTGATTTTTTAAAATTACGAAGCCTTTTGATCACATAATTCACAATTTTGTGTTGCTAATCTATTCTCTACTTTAATCCTTCTAGAAAGTTGTCAAAAGCACCATTACTAGTCACAAATATATACAGTAATTTTATAGTTGTTTTTGAATAACTGTTCAACACAATCTTGAATTATAACTTAGACTTAAAGAATTCACAGGCAATGTTTTCTACTATATATTGTCATGCTGAATTTTTTTTTAATGTTAATCCTCACCTGAGGATATTTTTCCATTGACTTTTTTTTTTTCTTTTTAGAGACAGTGGAAGGGAAGGGGAGAGACAAAGAGAAAGAAACATCTATGTGAAAGAGATATATCAATTGGTTGCCTCCTGCACATGCCCTCCCCAAGAGGAGGATCAAGCCTGGATCTGAGGTACATGCCCTTGACTGGATTTGGACCAGGGACCCTCAGTCTGAGGGTTGACACTCTTTCCATTTAGCCAAACTGGCTAAGGCTCATGCTGAATTTTAAAAGCATCTGACCCTATAGATTAGGGGTGTCGAACTCAATCAGAGAAGGGGCCAAAATCTAAAATCCAGCCTAAATCGCGGGCCAAATGGTTTACTGAACAGTCATAAACTGTCATTGTGATGGAAACGCAGCGGAGTGCAGTGATGACAGCGCGGTGCGGGCCACATTGCAAGGCCTGGCGGGACGGATTTGGCCCGTGGGCCTTGTGTTTGACACATGTGCTATAGATCATCTATAAAATGTGAGAAGTGTTGTGTTCTTTATTTGATATTATACATAAACCACACTGAAATGTCTTTTATTAAATAAAAGGAAACTAGATGAAGACAACAGTTTAGATAGGAAATTTTAATTGAATTGGCATAGTTAGGACCAAAATGATAAAGTGGACACTGCCAGCTCATCTTAAGACCTTGCGAATAAGCACAACTTGAAATACAAGTGAGTCTTGCTGGTCTAAGAAATAGTAAAGGGATTTCCTCAGTATTTAAACATATTAATACACCAGTTATATAAACCGAGGTATAAAACCAATCTATAGGGTTTAGGATGGCATTTACCATCTCTGTGAAAAGTTAAACATTATGAATCAGGCCAATCATTTTTTAGAAGGGGAAAACAATGATAGCACTTGCTGAACTGAAATTACCATTGAAGTTCAAAATGCTGATTACATTAATTTAACCACAAGCCAATCTTATTTAAATCAGAACTGCCCAAAAGAAATGTTTTACTAGCTGTTCATGATCTGAATTCTGGTGTATGAGATCAACTTAAATATGGTACAAATAAAAAATGTCATAAAACATTGTAAAAAGGCAGTGGCCACCTATTACTCGTTAGTAGCATTTTTTAGGATAAGCTACCAAGCCTGCCCTTTCTGCACTCCTCTTAATGCCAGCGAAGATCATTTTTTGTTCCGGGGATATACTTCTATTCTCCAAATATTCCATCTCTCCCCAGGTGATGCCTTTGTTCTTTTGGCAGAAAATCCAGGGATCCGACCTTTCTTTCACCCATATAGACCATGGAGATTTGGCCCCGTCTTGTGCTTGCCTCCCTTTCCCATAGTATGGCACCAGGCACACTTTTGAACAAAATCTTCTTGCCCTTCTCAACATCATTCATTTTTAAATTGCTCTTTGGTCTCATGTTATACAGAGGTTCCCACTCACAAGCCAGACACCCTGCTTTCTAACTCCAAAGACATGCTCCACCTGTGTCTAGGTATCCATATTGGTGCAACTGAACTTGCTCCCATTTTTTTTTCTTTCTATTTTTAGATTATTCCCACTAGCCCCTAATATTTTTTCCCATCTTAAAAAAAAAAAAAAAAGTCCTCTATCTACTTTCTTCTCCAGCCACTGCCTCATTTCTCCCAAACCCCTTATAGCAAAAACACTTTTAAGATGTCTGTATAAAATGTCTATTTTTTTATTTTTATTTTTGTCTGGAACACACTTTAAGCAGGTTTTCAGCTCTATAGTTGCTGATCAGTCTTATCAGACCTTTATTTGATTAAGATTGTTGATCACTCTCTTCTTCATAACATTTTTCTTCTCTTGGCTTGTAGGACACCTTACTTGCCTGGTTTTCATCCTATGTCTGTAGTTGCTTTATTTTGGTTTTATGACCTCTCCCATCTCTTTGGAAAATCCTGTTGGATATACAGAATATAACCACTTACTACACTCTGTATTGCCACTACATTGATCCAAGCCACCACTAGCTCTTCCTGGATTATAACAGTAGTTTCCTGACTGGTCTTCTACTGTCTTTTCCTTTTGGTCTTATCTTAGTAAAACAGCTAAAGTGATACTATTGAAATATGTCACATCTTACACTCTTCCATTCTGAATTCTTCAATGGCTTTTCTTCTTACTCTGAGTAAAGGAAAAGCCAAATTTCTTACAAATGACCCATTAAGCCCCACATAATTAGACTCCCCTCCTCATACCCTGCTACTTATCTTATTTTGTCTTCTTTCCTTTTTCTCTACCCACACTGATCTCCTTGCTCTTCCTCAAACATACTGGAATGCTTCTACATCAGAGCATTTGTGCTTGCTGATCTTTCTACCTAGATTGTTCTTCCTTTTGATATTTCCATTGTTGGCTCCATTCTTTCAGGTCTTGACCCAGATGTTGCCTTCTCTATGTATTCTATAGCTCTTTGCTTTAATATTTTCTAACCCCCTTTCTGATGTATTATTTTCCTTAGTACCTACCACTATTTAGTATACTATATATTTGACTGACTTTATCTTGTTTATTGTCATTTATTTTTATAAGAATATAAGCTCTGTGATGGTCAGAGCTTGTGTGTTTATCCCTAGTGTGTACAGAGGTCCAGGCATATAGTAGACCCTCAATAGGTAATTGTTGAATAAATGCATGTAATATTTAATGCTTAATATATACAATTTTTTGTAAAATAAGTGTCAGCAAAGCCCAAAAGTTAGTTAGGAGAAAAGTTAGTTAGAAAGATAAAATATAGTGGTTGCTATGTAAAATATTAACTAACAGTAAAAAAAAGTAGTTGCTACAAATAATTTTATTGAGTTAAGATTATCATGAAGGAATACTCATGCCTGAGTCACTTTAAAAACATTGAGTGAACAAAGATGGAAAGAAGTAGCTTATTGTTTCTGCTTCTTTCATGAAAACAGCTATTCAGAACTTATTTAAAACTGA